ACTCCATGCATTAGTTGATCTCTGACATATACATTATTGAAAATTTTGCAAATCTCCAAAAAGACAGATTAAAGATGTCTATTAGGCCTCTGATAAAGCCTTCTTTTGCCAGCCGTTTCAAGGATCATTAGTCTCACAGCCTTAATAACATGTTTCTTTTTAACAAGAGACAATTAACATGCATTTTTGGCGTTATCCCTTCGTTCCTATGTTAAGCTTCAAATGAAATAAATTCTCTTCAGCTTTTAGGCTTTTCGGGTTATTCAACATAGAAATAACTGGAACTTTAAATTCAWGTAAAAAATGTATTTAAAATTCAAATATGACTCAGCTCAAGTACTATTAGCAAATTTGTGATAGTAAAATGATCATTACCCTTTCCAACAGATCACATCGAAGACAAGACATAGTTGGTTAAGTCATTGCCACAAATGCACACGCTTGCAGCAATACCCCACTGTCTCACAAACGGGTTAAGCCGACCGCGCAATACGCTTTACCCGGTTACTGAGTCACAACTTTCGAAGCGAAAAAAGGCTTCAAGCCTAGATAAACACACAAATGCGTGTCTGTGTATGTATTTGGGTGATCTTGTAAAGAAATTATAACTCGCTTATCGCCGCTAATCAAGCTCATTTACATTTGCGTTGTCAAAACTATAACAAAATCGAATTAAGTAAAGCAAATAATTGCCACCAAGCGAAACAAGTTGTGGATAACTTTTTAATTTTTTAATTTGTATACAAAATTTGGCGCGATTAATGCAAATGCGTTGCCATAATCTATTTGTGTTTAACAATTTTTCGTTAGAATATTTCGAATATAAATTGTTTATTAACAGTTTAATGAACAGCGAAGAGCTTAGACTACTACGATAATGTGCCAGATTGGCGACGTGTGCTCAAGCTGGTGTGTGGCGGAACGCGCTGAGCAAGTTTAGGTTGACAAAAATACGCTGTTACTACTCCAACAGGCAGTCACGGGTCGGCAGYGCACGACTGTGCYKTGTTGTTGTGATGATTACGGTGTGTATGGCTTTGCTGGCGAGCTGGTGGAAATTCCCACCCGCAATTCATTCATAGATACTTGCAMGAGTTGCTGCCACCGACAAAAGAAGTTAACTAGAGGGGATATAAATTTGTACAAAAACGCGTATATATGTATAATATGCACATGTCTATGTATGTCAGCTACTAATATATGTTACAGTTCTTGTTAGAGGTGAAACAGTGCGTGAGGAGTTATTGACCGCATATGATTACGTGCTTACGCTTTGCTGTTGTTATAGCGTGATTTTTATGGGGGATTTTCCAGGACACGGATTGCGCGTGCAGCATTCTCCTCGCTTTTCCGCGACACAAATAAATGGTTGCGGAGGGCGTGTTTAATGGCTGATATGCGATCACGAAGACTCCGTTGAACCAGTGAAGGTGCCTTCTATGCGATGAAGGTGTTTACTAAGCGATGAAGGTGTCTACTATGCGCTGAAAGCGTATTCTATGCAGTGAGCTATCTCCTTGTTATTGTTGTTGTAATGCTTTGTTGCTAGTTTTTGAATGGCTGCCTTCAGCCATTGTAGCTAGTGCGGCGGCAATTGTCACTGATCCACTCATAATTTCATCGCAAAGCGTCTAATTTTTACGGCGCAAGTAGACACACGCACACATATGCAATTGTATACAACTATATATACATACATATGCAACTCGGCAATGATTTCTTATCAGCACCTCAAGATCTTGGGTCCGGCACGTTTGGGCTCATAGCTCATCATGGCAAGGAATTAAACTCAATTACCCCCTGGCGTGTGCTAAAGAATATCTACCAAATTCCACATGATTGGTGGCTTAGTCTTTTATAAGATTGTTTTTAAAATTTTTATTTTTTTTTTTTTTTTATCCGACGTTTTGCCTACCTTGCCACTCCACTTAGCGACTTCGATTTCGTCTGCATACTTAATGCGATAAGATTTTAATCTAACAAAATTTAGCTGCACACAAACAACTAAGTTTCTAACTATGTGTGCGTTTTGYTGTTGTTACTGTAATTTTGTAATTTGTTCGTAGCACAGTTATAGTGCAACATTAGYGTTGCACACACGATACTATTGTACGTGGCGAGCATCATAAATTTCCGTTTAGTTTCATTTTAGGCGGGTTCTGCTTGCTTGCTCTTCTACGACGGCGTTGCKTGACGCTGCTTGGATGCCTGGCTGCTTGYTAGCTGCGCTAAGCTGTTGATTATGAATTGTGGCTGTGATTTGGCGTAGTTTTGAAAGCAGGCTATATATTTATATAACAAATATAGTATGTATGTCTGTTTGTATGTGCGTGCAACATTTTGTTCTCATACACGTTTCATTTCTTTTCGATTTTTTTTTTTTTTTCGTTAATAATTTTTTATGCGTTTTAGAGTTCCAAGCGACACCCATCGCTTTGTTTGAGATAAACATCTTCAAAACTCGACAGCGGAAATGAAATTTATTACAAGTAATACTTTGGTATTATTCAATACGCTATAATATTTTTTTTTAGTTTTTAAGTGCTCACAGAAATTATGGCAAACGATCATTCAGTAAATTGTTAGGAAAAGCACCTTTTCGTCTTAGAAGTGCCGCCGACTGCGCTGCTTCTTGCCGCTCATACATTCTCAAAATTTTTTTGATTAATTTTTTTAGTGTTGTTGTAAAATTTAAATTAGTGTTGTGTATCTATAGATACGTACATATCATATAATATCATATCAACTAGACGTGAGCGCGGAGAGCACAGAATGCACAAAGGTTTTTCATAGTTTCAATTTTGATCGGTTATTGTTAAGTAACTGATTAAAAAAGAAAAAATTGAAGAMGTAGCCTTAACTACGGTTGCACTGCAGCTAAAATAGCTTTTACAGACACATTTCTAATAGGTCAGTTTGTATGACAGCGATGTGCTATAGTAGAGCGATCTGTACCATTTTTTAAGGGATCATAAAGTTGCATTTTGTAATCATCTGTACCGAGTTTTGTGAATATATCTTACCAAATAAAAAAGTTTTCCATACGAGTACTTGAATTTCATCGCCCAGTTCATAWGGGAGCTATATGCTATAGTGGACCGATCGCTACCATTTGTTATTAGAAGATTATAGCTTTCTCTTGKATAAAAATAWGTGCTATATTYCATGAAKAGTTGCTTGAAAATAAAARAGTTTTTCATACAAAAACTTTATTTGGAACTATCAGTTTGTATGGCAGCTATATGCTATAGTGGCGCGATCTGAATAATTTATTTGGGGACTGTAGCCTTCTTTTAGACCAAAATATACACCAAATTTCATGAAGATTTGTTGTCAACTAAAAAAGTTTTTTTTTTTTTGCTAATTTTAAGATATTTGAACCAAATATTAACAAATTAGTGTCCACGTGCGGCCATTGGAACGTATTCATTCATTCCGATTAGAGACATTTATTGTGTTTGAAAAACAATTAATGAAGACGTTGTGTTTATGAAATTTGTCCACTTATGGGAGTTGCCGAATTGTGGGTGTTGTTCAGTTATAGACTGCCCGTTTGACAAATTTCACTGTATAAACTTCATAGGGACTCCACCTTTTTTACTAGGTCATACAAACTTCGTGGCAAACTTATGTATAAAAAAATGCTTTAGGCTTTTAGGATTTATAAGCAAGAAGCAATTACAAAAAATCACCAAAATTACAACAAAATAATCATGCAACTCACCAGGGGCTTTCCAAATTTTGCCCAGCAAAACAATATTTGAAAGTTAATAGTTCAATTCAAGTCTTTTGATGTAACTATAAAGCTGCTCTGATCATTATCCTTGGAAATTCCCAGAATTCTAATATTAACGGTAGTTGAAAAATGTTATTTTTTTATTAAGGTTATGARCGCAAAAGCGCCTAATAAACTCATTTATGGCATGAGAACGCCTACCAAAAATATCTGCATCAATAAATATGAACACACACATATACAAATATATACCTGAAAGCGCGCTACATATGTGTGAAGAAATACGAATGTATGTGCATTATTGTGTGAAAGTAGCGCATAAGCAAGTGAAAAGGATATGGGCCYTTACGCGAAATCATTCAGCGAATACGCGGAAATACCGCGCCACTCGCGCTGTACCTGTTGCATATGCAGCGCTGCACTTGTGTGTGGGTAAATACACAGCTGCGCAAGTGCAACAGCGCCAACACGACACAAGCGAGAACTGCATTGCAGCAGGTACCATTCTGCTGCGCGTTTATTGCGAACACTTACACGAGTACTTGTTTATTAGCACGATCGTTGTTTTTGCTGTGAGCGCGCTCTCTGTGTTGTTGTGAACGCAAAGATTTAGAGTGTGATACAGAGAGCTGTGGTGACTCAAATGCTTGTATGCTGCGCATTTTTGTATTGGGAGCAGCAAAAATTATTAAGTAAATCTATTTAATTTAATTTTTGTATTTACAAAAACTCATTGAGTTGGCTGTTGAGTGACATTTTACGCGCCGACTTTGAGTGAAGGTGATTTGAGTGCAGTGTTTGAAGTAATTACTAGTGGCACGCCTCTACCGCAAGTAAGCGCCCATTTTCAGCTTAAAGCGCGCGCTCTCACTCGCGCTCACAGTCGTGCTGAGCAAGTCTACGCTGCTAGCCAACAAATCGGCGGAGATACACGAGCGCCACGACCACTAACAACAACGTTACTACAGTTAGAACTCACATTGCGCGTAGTGCACTTGTTCGCACGCGCTCACTACTCACCASTCAGTGCTCATTCACTCACTCATACTAACGAATTTTAGCTCAATGCTCTTTGAACTAGCGCCTATAGTTTTCATACCGTGTATATCTACTTAGTTAGCTAGCAAAGGCCGAGTGCTTGGCATTTGCTACTCAACCGTTTAGTTGTCGTGTCGCTCGTTCGCATTTTTACAGCCGTTTCTCSAACCGTTTGTTAACCCTTTGACTAACGCTGAGCAATTTCCATGGTTTTGTATCGTTTCAGAGTTGAAAGCGACCATGCGCGCATGGCTTCTACTCCTCGCAGTGCTGGCGACTTTTCAACCGATCGTTCAAGTTGCTAGCACCGAGGATATTACTTCGAGTTTCATACAGGCGATATCCCCGTCAATAATAGAAGAAGAACAATACCAACAACAACTGGAGCTGCAGCAGCAAGACTTATTTGAATTGGCGAAGCAACGCGACACACGTACAATATACAACARTAATAATAATAAAAACAATAAAAACAACAATAATAAAAACAATAACAATAGTGTGCAACAATTAGTGACGGCAAGCAGCCAATTAACGGCAATAAGCCCTGTAATCGATATAACAGCGTTATCGGTGACCAAAAGAACACAAAGTGCAACAACAACAAAAGCAAAAACAGCGATCGCTACGATCTTTAGCTACAATCGGCGCAGTGATAGTGATAATTATACAAATAACGGTAATCAATTAAATCAATTTAGTGCAAAGGATATTCAAGCAAACGGAAGTGGTGCAACAAACAGTGACGCAACAACAGCAATTGTTGTTGCAGTGCCAGAGAAGAAAAAACAAAAAATCAATAAACAAATTACAAAAACAAATCAAAAGCACAACGAAGTGAACGATAAGCATAATAATTTAATAGAAATTACGCGAAACAAAAACAACAACAACAACGCCAACCGCGCAGTGCAAGTGCAACAATTAGCAAATACTAGCGATAAAACGAAAAGCGCGCAAACAACAACAACAACAACAAAAAGTACTAAAAAGCTTAAAGCAACAACAAGTGCAGTGTTAAGTGAACAAGTGGAAGCGGAAGCGGAAGAAGAAGAAGCAGCAGCAAAGAAAAGCGAAATGGCTATACAGGAGCATAGATTAGCGACAGCGCAGGAGCATAGCAAGCGGCATAGAAATCATAAAAAGCAACAACAACATATGCAACAGCAACACAGCGCTTCAGACGCACCAGCGGAACAACACACAGCGTCGGTAGCAAGCTCGCATTTAGCGACGGCGGAACGCTTGGTCGCCACTRCAACGACGCATCTAGAAGCCGCTGAAAAGTTGGCACAAGATGCCAGCCGYGCCGCCAACACACCTGCTACAAGGACAAGCGCCGCTAGTGACGCATCCACAGCGCCGTTTAGCGACGATATTGTTGTCGCCAGCGAGGAGGATGAAGGCGACAGCGAAAGCGATGTCACAGAACCCGCCACATACAGTAATAAGGAGATTATCGGTGATAAATTGAAACCGGATCCCTCGACTCTAGTCCAAATCGAGAATAGCCTGTTGTCGCTGTTCAATATGAAGAGGCCACCAAAAATTGATCGTACGAAAATCATCATACCCGAAGCGATGAAACAATTGTACGCGCAAATTATGGGTCACGAATTGGATATGGAGACTATACGTAGACCGAGTATGCTGTCACGTTCGGCGAATACAGTACGAAGTTTTACACATATAGGTGAGTAAAGAAGATTTATGAATTTATTATATATTTCATAATTATTTTATGTAATATTAATTTGGACTTGCGGTTCGCTGATTTGGAAATTTTTCCAATAGCATAGAGGCTCACCGGGCAATTGATGCCTCAACTATTAGTTTTTTGTTTCAAGTTTCAAGTAAATTATACACCTAATCCTAAAAMAGTTTTTGTAGTTTTTGGCGCTCAGCCTTTACATTTCTTCCTGAATCTTGAGGCAATGTCTTCTTACAAACTATCAACTACTTGATAGGTCGCTTTCGAAGCTTCGAGAAAAGCTTAAACACTTTGTTATGACTAACTTGTGTCAGACAGTTAGCTCACGGACTTATGACTCATCATCTTGCATTGTTAGACAAACTGTTATGAAATCAGTATTACAGCGTATAGTTATAAACGCTTGCTTTTGGAATAGTTTAAGAGTATGGAGTTCAATTATATAAATATATACTGCTAATAAACTTCCTAGTTCTGTAAAAAAGAGTATTTGTACTATAATATGTACTAAGGACTTTAATGATCATTACTTCTTACTCTAAGTTTTTATTTACCTATTTTTATTATTTAGTATGTATATATATGTATAATTTTTTTTTTTTAATTCAGAATTTATATTTGTTATAGTCCCAAAAGTGCTCCTAATAAATTAGCAGTTTATATTCAAAAAAACTTTTGAAGCTACTTTTTTAAGTACTTTTTGAGGTTAAGTCAAATTTAAGTGGATATAAAGCAGGATAGTAAAATTTATGAATACCTGGTCGAAGATTGGTCCCAAAATTACAGTATGGTGCTGTAAAATAGCAAAAGAACATGCAGAGTTCCAAATTCGGTTAAGTAACAGACTTCAAAAAAAGGGTATAAAATCGCAAAAAAATTGGACTTTGCCAATAATTTTAAATTTTTAATTTGTTATTTTATTAAAGTTTTAACAAATTTACTTTCAAAAGTCTATTACGTTATATAACTTCAAGGAAATGACTTTTTGGAGCTCGTAAAACGACTAGATAATTATTTTCGGTTTTGTTGTATGAAAGCTTTTAGTATTGTATWATTATATARCAAAAGAACGCTAAGAATATTAAAKTCGGTTAATAAWTTGGTTARTTTTTCAGTTAATAATTCGGTTAATTAACCCACTTAAGTTAAGTTTATATAAAGCCCAAAAGGAGACCTAGAGCAACAGTATAAAATTTCAAATTTCGAATAATTAATTCGGTTAATTATTTTGTTAATTAACTCAATTAGGCAAAGTCTGTATAAAGTCCAAAACACGAGACCTAGAGCCAGAATTGAAAACTTAGAGACAAATTTAAGCATTATTGGAACATTTTATGAAATTATTTTGATCATCAAAAGAGTTTTTCGGCAGCAAAAAATTCCCCGATTACACTACKCAACAAATCTGAAAGAAAAATTTTTTGTTATCAAATTTAGTTAATTATTCGATTAATTGACCCACTTAAGTTAAGTTTATAGATATAAAGCCCAAAAATAAGRCCTATAGCACCAATTTTAAATTTAGAGACATATTTCAAACTCAACAAATCTGAAGAAAAAACTTGCGATTGATGAGCTAAGAGGGCTGTGGGTATTTCAGATATTCTGATTACGAACAACAAAGATTGCTACGTGTTAGAGAATAACCGCTATCATTATTTGTTTTAGCACAGCAGCAGCAATGACGGTTAACTAGTGTAATATAATTTCTCTTAGAAGAAAAACTTGATAATTGGATATAATTTTGAAAAATGTGAAAATTTTTTTCAAATGCTTTTATTCTCAATTTAGAAAAAGCAAATATAATATTCTTAAAAACATCCATAAACGAACATATCGTCACCTAAAACGCAAAACAAAATACTACAAAAATTAAAATTGAATTTTTATTGCTTACGATTCACTACATCATATTAAAAAATATGTAGCATAGAATTTTCAGCTGCCGGTGTCCGACATAACCATTATATAACCGATACACAACCATTTTATAGCCAAAGCTCAATTTTTTTTTAATATGAGTGGTTTATATTATACCTTTTGAAAAGTGATGTTACGTTATTTTACATTTTAACTGAAGATATATATTATATAATTGCATAACGCGCTGACTTCCAATGATGAAATCAGCAAACATTCTCCAGCGAATTCCCTTTTGATATGCGTTTATGCGATAAAAAATCACAGCTCTAAAATATATTAAAACCAAAAACAATATATTCAAACCAATTTTAGCAAGTTGCAAGGCATCTCTCATGCAACACACTCGAATTCAGCAGACCATTTGTGCCACAATCTAACGAGGCCACTTCAAGTACCTTTATTTCGGTGATTTATGTGAAGAGCAGCACCTTCACAACGCGAATGTCGCATTGTTTTGCGCGCAATGACCTTGAAATCAATTCAATGGAAATGTGTTAAGCCACACAAATGCGCGCACACACACATACCATTTACTTATGTATATAGTATCGGACATAATACAAAGCACTTGTTCTGCAGCACAATTTAACTAATAACAATTATTACAAAGCATATTTGCCAGCGAGCACGAAAGCAAACGCTGAAGATTTCGGTTTTCAGATTCCAAACAACCTGAAATGGCTCGAGTCACAGCGACCGTTAGAGGGCCACCGAARTAACCGCTTACCTGTTGCTTTGGTGCGAAACGCAAGTGCAACGTGCAACACAGCAACAAAAACGAGCAGAGCGGTGCGGAGACAAAAAGGTGCGCAGAGCAAATACTTTGTAACATGTCCGTGCTTGTATGTGTGTGTGTGTATTATGCACGGGGCGATCCTTTCATTTACCGCTTAATGCAAAATCCTTAAAATCCTACTGTGCATTCGAGTGCTGGCCCATTGTGCCGCCGCGATACTTGAGTGTCTCTGCGAAAGGTGTTTGTAGCAAATTCCAGCGGCGTTTGTTACCTATGGCGGATTCCCGCTTAGATTTCAAGTACTGCGAATAATATGTTATTGTTCGTGTTGCTTTAGTCGGCGGCAGCGTTGACTGCAGCGACATCGACGGGGGTTGCCAACGCGCCGTGCATTTGCAGTCGGTAGGGCAGACTGTGGGAATGTGTGAATTTAATTGCTTTCCGTGTTTTAGAACTCACCAGCTGCTGAGTGTGACGCAAAATGCTCGATATAGTGGCAATTGCAGTGATGCCATATTATTCGAATGGATTTTTGTGGCGGCGTTGTAATAAAAAACTGCGGTCCTTTATGCAGATTCTCCTCAAATCTCTCGAGAGTATGAAGTTTTCATTGATCTTTCGAGGTCTAACCGATCTCAAAGGTCTCAAATATTAATTTCTATCTAGAGTTTGGAGTTCCCGTTGATCTTTCGAAGTCTAACCGAATTCAAAGATCTAGATTATAAAATTTTATAGAGAGTTTGTAGTTCTCGTTGATTTTTCGGAGTCTAACTGAACGCAGTTTTGTGTAAAATATCTAACCTTGAACATATGTTTCGAGAACAAACGTTTAGATCAACTTGAGCAGTGCACGAATACMTAGAAGGAAGAAAACAACCTTTATTTCATATAGAAAGCTCCAAATTATTAATTTTTTTTTTATCGAGAATTTTAGTTCATGTTGAGTTTTCGAGATCTAACCGAGCTCAGATTAAAAAAAATCTAAACTCAAACATTTGTTTCAAGAGCAAACGCTAAGATCGAATTGAGAAACGAACCTTTCCGACGGAACGTGCATTTTTATCCGGCTATGGACTGCCAACTCGGCTGCATGCCTCGAAATTAATTCAGAAATGTTTTCTGTCGATTCAATTACATTACAACAACTACAACAAAGAGATCTCGCTTCATTTTCGAAAGAACAGTCCAAATTATTCGTTTTCATCGAGAGTTTGCAGTTACCGTTAGTTTTACGAAGTCTAACCGTACCCAGCTTTGAAACAAGCTAACTTCAAACCTCGAAATCAAGTAGTAAATCGACTCTAGAATTTCAGTTTTAAAACGTTTTTTTGAAACAGTATCAAAAATGGTCACCATTTTTTGTACGAATATCGTTACGTTTCGACTTTTACCCTTAAAAAATAATATATTTCTTATTAGACATTAAACTATTTGTAAGTTATATAATCCTTTCAAAATTTCGGTCACTAACTAATTCCCCAAACTGTATTCTCTGCTCTCTTCCTTTTATAGAAAGTAAAATTGACGATCGATTTCCGCATCATCATCGGTTTCGCTTGTACTTCAACGTGAAGAGCATACCCACCGAGGAGAAGCTGCGCGCTGCCGATCTGCAGCTATCACGTGAAGCCATCAGTGATGCCGTGCTTAGCGAGCGGCTCGCGAATCGAACAAGCTACCAAGTGCTCGTCTACGACATCACGCGGGTGGGTGTGCGCGGCAAACGTGAGCCCAGCTATAAGCTGTTGGACAATAAATTGGTGCATTTGAATAGTACAGACACCGTGAGTCTCGACGTGCAGCGTGCGGTGGATCGGTGGTTGGCGACACCGAAAAAGAATTACGGGCTGCTGATCGAAGTGCGAACGCTGCGTACACTCAAACCGGCGCCACATCAACACGTACGACTGCGACGCAGTGTCGACGAGCCGCACGATAGTTGGCAACACAAACAACCAGTGCTTTACGCGTACACCGACGATGGCAAACATCGTATGCGTTCGGCGCGTGATGCAACAACCAGCTCGTCGCGTTCAAAGCGTGCCGGTCATCATCGACGGGCGCATCGTAGGAAAAATAGTGATGAGATATGTCGACGACATTCGCTATATGTGGATTTTGCGGATGTCGGCTGGAGTGATTGGATTGTGGCACCGCCGGGCTATGATGCATTCTACTGTCAGGGCAAATGTCCGTTTCCGCTGGCCGAACATTTGAATTCGACAAATCATGCGGTCGTGCAAACCTTAGTCAATAATCTCAATCCGGGAAAGGTACCAAAGGCCTGCTGTGTGCCAACACAGTTGGAGGGCATATCAATGCTCTATCTGAATGATCAGAATACCGTTGTGCTTAAGAACTATCAGGATATGACGGTGGTTGGCTGTGGGTGTCGGTAATAAGGCGCTAATGTGAAAGCAACAAGCAAGAAGAAAACAACAAGTTAACAAAACAGCAATAACAGTAAAAGAAAATGCAATGCTCGAAACGACGAAGAAGGCAACAGAAAAGCAACCAGAATAACTGTTGATATTCGCTAAAAACGAAATCAGAAACGAATGCAAAATAAACTAGAAGCCAAACCAATGTCGTCGATAGCGTATTGCGAATACATCGACCAAAAAAAGATGTGTCCGAGAACGACCAGTGTATGTGTGTGGATGCGTGGTGTTCKCGTTCGTGTGCGTCGAGTCATACGCCGACTGACAACTGAAAGCGAAAACGAGACAACACCAACGTGTATGCGAATTGGTCAACGTCAATTCGTTAATAACACGACGTGTGCGTAAATGGAACGAGTGTGTGAGAGAGCAAGAGCGCAAAAGTAGTTGACGATTACCCGCTATGCTCTTGCCAAAGGACGAAAGGTCAGAGTTCACGCGAGCAGCGGTAAGAACTTCGTTCATTCTCTGTCTCTCTCTCTTTTGCGCACACACGAGCGCACACGCATCGGGAGCGCAGACGCGAGAGCATTAAATGCTGGGTTTCAAGCCGCTTCACGCTTTAATAAGTTTAAATTTTATTAAACGAAATGCAAACAAAATGGACTGAATATATGAATTTTAAGTATATACATTTTAGACTTTATTTCTTAAAATAGAGCAAGTTAATAAGTGAAACATTAACAAAGCACAGCGCAAGGCTGAAGTAGTTAACAGACAGTTGCACGCGCGCGCACTACAAACGAAGCACAACACCAAAGCGATTGTCACAATTGACAGCCAGGCTGCCAAGACGTTCGACAGTTCGGTGAGAGAGAGCGCGCGCACACAGCGCCGCAGAGCTGCAGACACTTCGTGACCACACGACAAGTAGCCCGGTAGAGACGACGCGCTGCGCGTGAAAATCAGAAGAATTTGTGAAACGCAAGACAGCGCGCAGGAATTCGAAAATATGCGCACGCCCTTATATACTCAAATACATATRTATATATATAATGTATATAGAGTAGTATATGTCATATTTGCAACGCCGCCACCAACGCGCGCCCTACGTAGCATCAACGCCGCCGCCGCCGCATCGCTACTACTATTTCCACGGCGCTGCTGGGCACTTAATGCCAGCCGCGCACTACGCAACGTAGCGCGTTGCCAACTATTGTGTATTTTATTGGCGTAAATGTCTAAAGCGCGCTCTGCGCAGACGCAACTGAGCTAGCTAGCTAGCTGAGGTGTAAAGAACCATTTGTACAGTAGTGTTAGAAAAAAGCAAAATATTTTTATTATTAATTTTAAATCAATTAATTAAAATTAATAAATGTCTTGTTAATAGTTTTTATTTTTATTTAAATGTACCATGTAATATGTGTAAAGCGCAAAACTAGCATTTGTGTTTATATATTTTTATATTTTTTTTTTTTTGTTCTTTTATTTTACAATCGAATTGTGTCATTCGAAGTCACTGTAGCCAATGTACAGTTGAATAGGCGAGTCAGAAGCGAAGATGTGAATAAATTATTCAAATTGATATTGGGAAAAGTGCTTTTATTAAACAAAATTCCATAGAAAATTATACGACTTGCGCTTTCTTTCGAATGAAGAGAGCACGCAAGTGCATAACGTCAAGCAACGCTCTTTGTATATATATATATTCATATATAYATACACATGTTTGTATGAAAAGTCTAATTGCTTATAGATTATGTAGAAAACAAAGCACAACAAGAACAACAACAATAACTTTATGCTGTTGCGGCTGCCGCACGGCGTGGCACGCGGTCAGTTGCCTCGATTATAATGCATTACTGACCTATACTACTTACTATTACATACTTATGTTAATGTATAGGTATATTATTTTTAAATCTAAGTTTTTTTTAGCAGTTTTTTAATTATATTCAAATTGTTTGTGCAGT